CCTTATGTCAACTGTCTTACAGTAAGCTCTCATCAGATCTTTAACCATTGGCATTTGTAAGTCATATTATTTATAGTCACTGTTTTATTACTCTTAAGCTAGTAAAGAACTAGATTTCAGCAGAACAAGTATTAGTTATATAAGATTAAGTAAACTAAAGAAGATGATTTTGTAGCTTTTTGTTTCAAATGTTACTGATAAACTGTTTTAAGCTTTTTCTCTTAAGCTGACAACAGTTTAGTAAATGACTGCCTTTATAAGCAGAATTGAAACTTTATCTTTCTCTCTACCTCATCCCTCCAGAATTTAAAAACTCTCAGTGACTATTTTTATATTTCAGGGTAGTATGTTTATTTGCACAAGTTCAATAAGAATCTGCTTTCCTTGTAAGAGGACCAATTAAAAAGATTAGTTATATTACCAAGGCTTTGACTGGAACATCATACCTGAGAGACACGTGTATAAACTCAGATATGAACAGAGAGCTTTAAGGAACTAAGATTGACTTTATAAAGCCAACAAAGCCCCTTAGAAGAACTGGCCTGGTACCTTGCTTACAGAATTCCCAGCAGCCTTACCAGATGAGTAAAGAAGGTCACCTCCTGGCAGGTGCAGGAACCTCAGAGAAGAGAGGAATTCACCCAAATCTACAGGTACTGCAGGCACAACCTGAGGGCAAGTCTAGCTTGGCTTTCTGGCCTCAAGAAGCCTTTAAAAGTCCAATCTGAAATTCCTTATAAAAAGTTCCAGCAAAGCATGTTTAAAAGAGCCTATGTAATCAATTGCTCTTCTTGCTGCATTTATGCAAATAATCAAGCCAACCGTTAATTATTTTCTTAATCTGGCTACTTTAATAAAAATGAGGGTGATTTTAGAGAAAAGTATTGTTTCAAAAATGCAGTCTTATCTATACTAAATCCCAATACTAGTCATTGAGATGTAAACTCGATCCAGAATTCCAGTCCCCCATAATGGCCTGGCTAATGCCCCTACTGGGCACCTTAATAACAGTTTGTAGTTTACTCTTAGTTGCCCCTTGTGTCCCCAGGTTCCTCCAACAGCGGCTAACCCAGATGACCCGGGTCGCCACCAACCAGATGTCACTTCACCGTTACGCACCTCTTCCCACTGAGCCCTCTCCTTCGGCCTAATACCAGCCTCAAACCCCCACGACGCCCCTTGTCAGCCGGAAGAAGCCAGATTGAGTCGTTGCCCATTATGACCAAAAGGCTGGAATGTTAGGCTGCAGGCATCAGGGGAAGGGGCGAGCCTGATGGACAAGCTCAGGCCTCACCAAAGGAGGCAAAGAGACCAACAGGTTCCGGTCTGACAACATTCCAGAGCCTGATGGGATAACCCTCCCAACTAGAGCCCTTCCCCCAAGCTAATGGATTAGTGGTAACTTTCCAGTACCTGGCTAAAGGCCAAAGAGACTCCCATGTACCCTAGACGAGCCAATCCTGCGCCACTGCACACCTTTGCTCTCCCTCCCCCTGCCTTCTTTAAATACTTGCTGCCTGCCCTGCTGGGTGTGACTTCCCCGGCCTGTGTTTCAGACCGCGGAACATCACCCGGGGGTGGCACTCAAATAAACTACCTGGCCCTTTGTTGGCTCTCTTCGCCTGCCTGCTTCGGTGGAAATTTACTGGAATTTATCTTACACCCAGGTTTCAGCACCAAATGTAAGATAAATTCTAGCTGAAACAAGCAGGCGAAGAGAGGGAACAAAGGGCCAGGTAATTTATTTGAATGCCCCCGGGTGAGGTTCCGCGGCCTGGCCGTCACAGGCTGGGGAAGTCACGCGAAAGTAGACAGGCAGCGAGTTTTTAAAGAAGGGAGGGGGAGCCAGAGCTTAGATTCACAGGGGTGCGAGGATTGGCCAGCCTAAGGCGCATTTTTCAGGCTGGGAGTGGGCAGCAGCCGGGGACTTTGGCACGTCATCAGTGTCTGACGTGCTCACCCCTCCCCCAGGTGCCTTCAACCTTACACTTTGTACTCACAACTTTGATGATACACAAGTATATATCCTGCAAGTAATGCATCAAATGGATGTAATTCTAACAGCACAGAAAAGTGAAAAGTGGACCATACATATTCCCTTTCCACAGCAGGAGAATTAAAAACAGTAACTTGACAGTTTCTGTTTTTAATTCTCTTGGTCACCTTCATAAATCTAAATAATATGCTTGAGCATCTGTTTCTTCATTTACTGATGTTAGGTATTTTCTTCCTGCTATAAAAATAAGGAACTTAATTATAGTATTCCTTCATCCTCTTCACAACTTTTCTTTAACTAAAGAAAATTTTTTAAAATTTATTTTAACCTGTAGTTACATTAAAAATTTTAAAGACTATACCTAAAACTCCTTTTATTATCAAATAACTTTAGACAAAATCTCTTGACTCCTTCCTAATCTTGTGACAGAGAAATGTGTGCCCCTGTATTTTCCACACACTTCTTCCAACCTTATAATCCCCAAACTGTCAGCTATCTCATTGCTTGACAATATCAAGAGATAAAATGTTAGCATTTTTATCCTGAAACTATTATAAGTCTGACATACTTGGTCTAGATCAATTCAGAAAAATCTGAAGTCAATAAATACCATTTACAATTTTATGATTATATAAATATTCACTGCAGAATCAGTCAGACATTGAGAAAAATAGTGATTAAGACAACAGACCCTTTAAGAATTACAACCTCTTGACATGTGTCTGGCAAGTTCATTCATTTCTCTCAGGCCTTAGTTTCCTCATCATGTAAAAATAGACAATCAGAGTAGTTCCTCCATAGATTATGAGGGTTAAAGGAGATAAGCCTTACAGTATCAAGCATAAAGCTGTATTTAATGTTACTGCTGTTACTATTGATCAGTACAATAATTCATGATTTATAAATGTATAACTATTTCCTATTTTGTAAACGTTTTACTTCATAAAGAAACTCTACATAAAACAAAGACAAATTACATCATGAGACAATCACAGTAAACCATTAAACAAGAAGGAAATAGTAGGGAAAGCCCAGCATGGAAAATAACTAAAATTCAAGGAAACTCATGATGTTTAGAAAACTTGGAGAAGCTCCTGAGGAGCTCAACCTCGGGTTAGGTGGGTGAGACAGTACAGAATCTGGGGCCATCTTCCTGGGCTGGGAAGCAACCAACATTTTCCCAGAACAACTACACACGATCTTTGTTTAAGGAGGCCACATTCCCTTAAGACTGCTCTATTTTTCAGTTTCTTTTTAAAGAATTAAAAGAACATCCTTGGTTATGAGGCATCCACAGGTCACTTGACCCTACTACTTGGTCTAAAGAGAGAAAGTAATAAAGTTAAGCATTTACTAATACGTCACTTACAAAATCCAAAGGTCTTTAAAAGTTTTAATAAGAATCTTTACACTGTAAAAGAATTGCTTAGGAAACACTGCATAAATGACTCAGATTTTGATATAAACTTTTTATAATTCCTATAAATTAAATGTCATCATGACTAATATTTTAACTGGGTGATTTGAAGACACTTAAATAACAATCATAGCTTTGCACATAGAAATCAAGGAAATATGCTTTTAATTTATGGAATCTTTGGATTTCACAGAGTTTTTAAAGTACTAATATTGCTTGTGAATAAAACATGAGTCTATCTGAGCACAGTGAAATGAATGAAGAAGATATAACCCTATGCTTCTAAGCAGGTGACCCTTGAATATCCAGGGTAATATGAATTCTTCTCCCTTACACTAAATCAATTCTTCTCAGGAGAACATAAGATGAATTGCTTCTAAAGGAAAGATACCCTGATGGATACAAAACTTTTCATCGGCAATATCAGCCACTAGAAAATAGTGATAAGCTTTCAAAATGTTTAGGGGAAACAGTTTTGAGCCAAAATTTCATTTCTAGCTGAACAATTAAAGAGAAGGGGAAAAATATTTGTGATATGCAAAGATTAGCTACGTTTATAAGTATGCATTCCATATGAAAAAATTCTAGAATGTGCTTCAGTAAAACAAACAAAAGTACAGTTAAAGGATGAAATGAGAATGAAGAAAAACTTGCTGTTGAATAAGATGCAACAGAAACAAAGAAAGATAAAGATAAATGAAAAACAGACTCACTCACTGGGCCTTCCAATTTTGAAAGGCCTCATCAGGGTATGGAAGATTGACATCTCTTTGCCCAAGACAGAATTGCATCGTGATTAGGACATGCAGTCTCAAGCCAGCCTACTTAGCTTCAACCACTATTATTTACAGTTTGGCTTGTACAGTTTGCTTTGAAAATGCCCTATTTTTTTTTCTAACTGTATCCAGAAACATCTATCTGCAGGCACACACCCACACATAATTGTACTGCACAGTTGGGAGGCAACTTCCTAAACTAGGACTACCCAAGGCAGACTCCATGACCGTCCCACGAACTCAAAGTTGACAATGCCAATTTATGAACTTCCTATATATCTGAGTATCTTCCCACGTCTTCTCATCTTCCTCCATCATCCATTATTAGGCCACGGAAAGCCATTTTCTTAAGCCTAGGAACACCTGAAACGTACGTGCCTTCTCAGGCCCACTGTCATACAAGCCAGCTTGTGTTTCTTCTCCCGTCAACACAACGGAGAAGAGGAGAGAAGCCCTTGTAAGCTCACAGGCTTGCAAGACAAAGATGTGAGTTTTTTCAAAAGGCTATTGCAAAATGATTTCCACAGCCTCCCTAATGTGCTATAGAACTTTATGAAGGAAAGAAAATTAATCATTGCATAAAAGCTTTTCTCCTGTTAATTAGACATTTCTGCTTATTATTTGTACTCTGAGTTATAAGGCACTTCTCCCACACCTGTCACCTACCTTCTCTTCCATTTTCCTGTTGAGTGACTCTGACTAGCTTTCAAGCACCAGATCAAAGAAAGACCAAAGAATGCTAAAGCCAATGTGCCTTCAAGCTTTACCCAACATGACAGATCCCATCCCAGTAAGAGTTTAAAATATATACCTTCACTTAACTCTCACAACAGCTGACCATTCCACAATCTCCAGATATTACTAGTTCATTTGTCCAAATCCAATCGTTTTCATCAGGAAGTGTGGCAAGTCTGCTGCAATGTTGAAAGTGAAACTAAAGTTTGTTTTTTTTTTGAAAGCCTTTTATAATTGGTGCATTCAAGAAAGGGCGAAGGCAGAAAAAAGCACAATATCAGAGGTTTTTAAATTCTATAAAACGTCTTGTTTTTTCTTCTTTCAGGTACAGTCCCATGGGTTTCATTAAAAGGGTCACAGATTCAGCAGCAGAGAAAGTTGCAAGAGTGACAGCTCACGGCTAGTACTCTAGAGGTTAATAACTAACTGGCAGTGAATTCCCTTTTCTTTTTTTTAACCAAAGACGGATGCACATCTGTCACAGTCTAGTACAGTGTGGTCAGAGCACAGAAAAAAATGCAATCCCCAATCAAAGCCAAGGACTTTCACTTCTCTTCTCTTACTTTACCTTCTTGGCAAACCCTGTAAATCGAGGACTGCAGAAATCCAGCTTTTCCTCCAAGAAGAGATGAGTCTCACAGCAGAGAAAGGGCTGGCTGTGGCAAAGCCAAGAGTCAGTGCGAACTCATGCGATTCCACCTTCCATAGTCAGAGCCTGTCAGGGGACAAAGACATCTGCCCAGAGAAAGGTCAGATCCACTATTTCATTTGCAGTTAACTCTACTGACTCCAACTAGTTAAAGGAATGTTTTGTTAAGACCAGAACACATTTTTTATTCTTGATGTAGTGTGATGTAATAGTAGAACTATACTGTTGTGTAGTCAGTGATGACAATTGGAAGGAATTGTAGAGGATACTTAATCTAATTCCCCTGCTTGAGAAATGAGCAAAAGGAAGCCCAGCAAGGTGAGAAATTTGCCCAAGGATATACCTCAAGTTGCTAAAGAAGTACTATGCAAACAAGTATAGTGACACAACAGCCTGAAACAGTTGAAATATGTCAATAGCTTGACTTGATTGCATAGGTTTGTGCTGTGGTGCAAAATATCCTTCCCTGGCCCCCAGTCTTATTAGCTGGACCACCTTGTGGTTATTGGGCTCATGGTTATAGTTTTCTGTTTTTCAGTTGTCCCATCTGTAAATTAATAACCCTAAGCAAACAACTGTCCTGAATAAATGATCATCCCCCACATCTACCGGTTGGGATGTGCAATAAAGCATTCCTAGTTTACAGAAGGTTGCTTTGTGGTGAGCTCCTTGAAGGCAGGGTATGTTCTTTTGTGTTACAGCTCTCCAGCCACTCCTGCATGGTAGGCTGTACTTCGGCCTCCAATGAACCAGGTTCCTCTTCAGTATTTAGAGCCTTTCACTATCCTCTCCCACACTGACTTCTGGGCGTGGCCAGGGGATATTAGTAAGCATGAAGCAAGCCAAGACTTGACATGTATTTGCATAATGGGATTTACCTCTTCCCTAGAAGCCAGTGCTGAGCTGCGAGAAACTTAGCCTTATGCAATGACAACGAGGACTGAGGTTCCGGCCAGCAGCTCCAGCTGAGCACCCAGAAGATAGCCAGCCTTGCCTTGCTGTCCCTGGGAGTGAGCCAGGGGAGGGAGGGGATCTCCAATCCTATGTGAGTCACCCCAGCTGAAGCCACATGCAACAGAGCTGAGCTGTCCACCAAGTCCTGCAAAATTCTATAAGGACAAACAAGTAAATAACTGTTTTCAACCAAACCAAACCCAAGAAGAATCTGGAGTGGTGTGTGTGCACATTGGCTGCATGATGTGTGTTCTCTCTGCAAACCTCCATGTCCATCTCTTACACATTATGACTCCTTGCACACCGGTTTTCCATAATGTTGGCTGAACTAATGAAAGGTTTCATGCAGTACTTTTTATTGATGGTCTCATAATACAATAATTGGTTTAGGCTTGATACCAGTTCACATCCAGATATTACTAGTTCTCAATTCTTGCTAGTTTCTCTATATAGCACAGATCAGTCTCTCCACTATACATTTCTTAATTATGCATTAACTTATTTAATTACCATGGTGGTAGGTGCTACAGGAAGAAGCTCACTTTTTCCCCTTTTTCAGAGAACTAAATCAAAATCATTTTTATTGTATGTCCATAAATGTAAAATAACAAGTCCAGTGTTCACTGGTATTTCACAGTTTGATAGATCAGCCAATCTCAAAATAAAAATGAAGCTGCCTTATTCCCACGTGAGCTGAGATCTACAGAATTTCAGAAGTCAAAGTCCCTTAAATGTACTACATCTGCAATTTTATGGTTCCCTCCTTCAACCCGAAGGAGCACTTTTTAAGGAGAACTCAGTAAGATAATGAATGGAAGCAGTCTGAAAGAATGGCAGGTTACAGAGACTGGAAAAGCAGTTGAAAATTCCTAATTATAAGAAGACAATAATTGGGAATTTACTATTTACATTTCTATTAAACTTTAAGGACCCCTACCTCTCTCTGCCTGCTTTTAAAATAATTCTTAACAAGATAATCATTGTTTTTCAAGGACAATTATGACCATTTTAATTCTAAGCAAAGACTTTGCTAATGATTGAGGACAGTGTGTAATCACTAGAAGTCCAGTCATTTCATTATAAGATTTGTAAACGAAGACTTGATTGGGGCTTTCATCATCACCAACATCTGTGATACCAGACTACCGACGAGCATATGAGATGGTCTTGACAATCTCCTGTATAAATCAATTTAGGAATGAAAAGTGCATCATTGTAACTTCTGACAACATATATATAGAGTTGAAATTGTGGGGGCAAACAGACTATGTGAAAAGGCAGACCAATATTAGACAACACAATAATTATACTGTGTTGAATATAATAAAAGAAAACCTCTTTTTTTCCTCTCTCTTTATTGTTGGACACCATGTTGCCAGCCTCTCTGAGGTCCAAATAAAGAAGGAACTGATTATTGAGGAATATTTTAATTTGTGCCAGCACTGAATATCCCATTGTCAGGGAGCTAGTGGGGATTTAAAAGAGTCCATATTATGCACGCATTGAATTCAGAATGGCTCTTAAGAATTTTTGAAATACACATTCGTTAATGGAAACAAGGAGATTGGACTAACCCATCTTCCCCGTGTAAGCAGGAAGCCAAAGCAAACCTTCTCATCGTTACATCTCACAAGTTTATAATGTGATGAACATACTGTAGCCCAGATAAAGAGTTGAATTTACCCATCTAGCATTAGACAGATGGTCATTTTGAAGGGCTCACTGGTCCCCCTTCACAGTCACCATAAAGAAAGGACATGGTCCTGTTCTGTACCATCTGAAATTCTGGAAAACATTTCTTTTTCTTTTATTCTTTTTGAGCGCTTTCTCTCAAATAAAAGTGCAGTTCTTACCAGTCATTTCCACCGCTGCTCACTGAGCTTCAGCCTGTTTAAATTAAGTTCAACCAGACCACAAACTCACCAAGAATTTCAACAAGAGGAAATAGCACTCTGTCCTCCCTGCTACTCTCACGTAAGTCCACTGAGCAGGGTCAACCTTGAATGGCCCCTCTGAAGAAAGAAACCACCATTTGACACACAGAGCTTCCGGCTTAAGCTGAATATTTATTTATTTATAATTGTACAGGGTATTTGAAAAGCAGTGACATCTGTCTCTTCTAAATCTGTAAACTAGGTGAGTGTGAATGGGGTCTCACTCTTCTTTATTGACAATCTCATGATATGGCTAAAGGCTCTTCAAACCCTATGCCTTGAATTGGATACTCATTTACTAAAATAAAAAATAAAATTCTAGACTTAACTTCACTACCATCCTACACTTTAAACATCCTAATTAAATTTAATCTGATGTCCCCTGGGCATCCAGTGAATAGAGTTACAAATGTCTGACAAAACCATTAAAGAATCACACTTAATGCAAGGAATTTCAAACTATCAAAAGCAACTAATAACTTATCCTAATCATACTGAACTGGTCATTGGTAAGAGTCAATGCTCATGCAGATTGGTTTCCATTTTGTGATGCAAACTTTGAATCAAGAAGGACAACTAAAATGAGAACCCAGAGTTAGAAGGGTTGGACAATTGGTTTTGACCACACTTCTTGCTTTTCACCTAAGAGGAAGCTTTATCTGTATCATGGGATGGTTTGTAAGAAGAATATGAGAACTGATCCTTAAGAAGTGAGAAGTAAAAGCAGGAGGAAAGAAGGGAACGGGAAGGTTTACTATGATAAAAATTTGAAGATAAAATACATAAATATAACAAAATTCAGAGGGCTCCAATACAGAGTTTATACCCTGTGTAAAATGCTAGTCCTATTCTTTATCTAAAAATAGGTCTATGTAAGTGTTGGATGTACCCTTTAACATCATCAAAAGAAACGGTAACATTTGTTTTTTTTTTAATTACCTGTTTGTATTTGTCCATCCAAATTTCTATGTGTTTTTCACATTTCCATTATTGATTTAAAAGTTTTTTTTGAACATTCTGGAAATTAGCCTTCACTCAATGTATTGCAAATTTTTTGCTTGATAAGTTGTTTGTTTTTAATTATTTTTAAAGTGGTTGTTTTAACTACATAAAATTCCTCAAGAGAGTGATTGATATCAAAATGGTAGACTAGGAAGTTTCAAGCCCTTATTTCATGGAAACATCAAGAACAAGAGCTGAACTAACCTTATGGCAGCTCCGGAGTAGACCGACATTTCTACAGAAACCAAGTGAACACCTAGTCAAGAAAAATCTACCTTAAACACGATCAGAAGATTCACAGCACTTCCACTGTTACCCCGTCCCCTCCTCAGCTTGGCAGGGTCTTCACCCAGAAGATGCACCAGCCCAATTTCCAGTTATCTTCCTTGAGCAGGAGGTTGTAGGGTAAACCTTACTGGCAACATTCTAACCTTTCTGGGAGCTTCTTAAAGGACTGGTCTCTGTCTCATCTAACATCTCTGTCTCATCTAACACGGCTATCAGGCCGGGGAAGAGCAGCAGCCACTACCTGTGAGAGCTTCAAGAAGGCTAGACACGCACAGATACCTGGGATAAGAGATTACAGGTGAGGACATGTAATAGACCATCTACGGCCCCGAGGAGAAGCTGGAATGAGACTCTTTGGGATACTCAGACATTCAGAAACAGCCGTGTGTATGAGCGAATTGAGAAAGCCTCCCACAAGCCCAGGAAAGATGCTTTCTCAGAAAAGACCTAAGAGACCTTGAGCTTTCACCTCAGGCTGATCCTTAAGCTCAGAACACAGCTGGTGAATTAGCGAAGCACTGCTCCAGCCCACAACCAGTTTGCAAGGACCAGGAGAGGTGGCTATTTTTCCAAATGCCCAA